AGAACAACTTGAATGCTATACATTGATTGATTTGAATGCATATGTGTTTCGATTTGAGTTATACCATGAGAGGAAGGACTCTGCATCGTCAAAAAAAGAACCATGAAAACAATATTTTCCTCCTGATCCACATATCGGTAGGTTGAAGTCTTACAACAATGTTGTTAAGCATATGTAAAGCAAAGCGGATTCAAACGGTATCTCCTTGAACAACAGCAAAAGCGCTGGCAGTTAAACCCAAAAATAAGAGATCTGTGAGGTAAGGAATTCAAAACAATCTTCAGAGAAGCGCAAAATGGGGAGTATCTAAAAACATCACAAAATTTTTTGCAGGCGTAAACGATTACAAGAGTAGCGATGAAGTTGTCAAGTGTGATTCCTGCTTGGCCACTATAATTGACACCTTGGAATCCACAGATTTGTCATCATTCATTGACAGCAAGCGAAAAATCCTTTCGAGTGATTAACATACTCTGAAACCTTTTGTAAGTGACGAGCTTACACAATTACGGGAAGCCCAATAACTCGGAGTAAAGTTGCTTCACGAAAATTTTCAAGAGTGCTCAAATAAGCTGAGAACAACCCTAATAAACCTGAAAAGGGAATTTCCATCTCGCATGAGGAAAGATCGGCAATGGGACAGAATAAACGGGAACAAAAGAATGGTGAAAAAATAAGGGAGGAGCGTTTACAACAGAAGGCATAGTTGATAACTCACCCCAAGAGAGCCGGTTGGAGAGGTGTTTGATAAACTAATAAAACAATACTTTTACGAGCATCGCATCTATCGATGTTGAAACATCGCGTTTGATGCACAGGCTAAGCCCAATTGTTGATTATTTAATTACATTAGATCGTTCTACGGTGTCTAAACGAGAAGCAAAGCTAAGAATACAAGATGGTCAAAAAAGGTAATAAACTGATTCCACGACTTCGAGTATTTTTCTATGCTGCTCCTACTCCCGCCGCTTCCTTCCCCCTTCCCCCCTCCCCCCTCTTCCCTCTTAAACTCTTAGGGCTGATCACTCCCTTTCCTCTTGAATTCCACAATACTGACTGGGACTCAGAGCATGTAAACTCAGGCGTGGCCGACTAATCAACGTTATTTTACTTTTCACAATGCTACGGTAAATAATGCTGTGACTAAAACACAGAGCAAGAATTAGTTCTGTCAGTTTCCAGCTATATCACTAAGACATTTTGCCCCTTCTTTGACGGTCAACGCAATTTCTTATGGAGATCTACACTGTACGAGACCTATTCATACTGTTCGCTGGTTTGTGTCACTTTCACTTAAACAGAGAGATCTTACGCCGTGATGATATCTCTCCCATGTAACCAATACCAAAAAAGGTCCGACTATATCACATTTTTTGTTTGTCTCTTTTCTCTAACGCGAGGATGAGCTAAAACGAAAGAAGCTCAGAGCTGAAACTGTAAGACTCCAACAGAGATTTGAGTGAACAATACTCAATCCTACACAAGTGAGACAATAATTGTTTGCAAACAGTTCTCAAAATGTGCCGCTCATTCACAATTTGTCTCATCGCAAATTTCATGATATTCGTTGCAATGTTAAATTTTGCGAGATCTTCGTTAGTTGTACGTGGCAGGCAACGAAACACCATCTGGTACCATCGATCACCGCGAAAAGATGTTGGATTGCAACTGTAACTTGAATCGAGATTCTAGTGCCAGCAAGGCCATTAAGACGTTTGAAACAAAGCTTGAAAAACTCATTGCATTGGTTAAAAAAACCGTGACTCCGCAACCGCGACCACCAGATATTATTTATGAACATATTTTAAATTTTACCTCGTTGAAGTTTTCTTTATCGCAGTTGCAGTACGTCCCTTCTCCTGCAAGAGACAGGAAGGTAAGTTCATTATTTCAATCACAAAAAACCGAAGTCGCGATATGTGTATAGCCTATAATTTGTCATTTGGTTGCGGTAAATCAGAACTTTGCGCCTGTTGCTAGATTATCTTTATTTTTGTCATTTTCTTCTGGTTTATAAATTGACTTTTTTTTTGGGAGGGCACCTGCTCATTTCCGGAAATGTAGAGACGCGCAACTAATCATAGGGTGTTTTGCTTTTTAACAACCGCTTCTCCCGCCCTCCTTCCCACATGGCCGGTTAAATAAAGATTCGCGCGCTTCATAAAGTTTAATCACTCTAATAAGACACCTGTACTGTAGGCTATGGTCTATTCAAAACATTAAATATTCCGGAATATGAATATTTATTACATAGATACTGATGAAATACCAGGATTTTTCCTTTTACTAAAAAATCTTATCTTCAACGCGCGCGGTCAATACTATTTTTATCTTTTACGTGTGAGCATATTGGTGTCGCCATAGTTACTAACACGCTGTTATAAAATTTTCCTCTTTTTCATTAGACTTTTGACTGTTTGGAAGAGAAAATTTAAGTATCATTGTCTTTATTTCTCCTCTATGACTTTATATCCGAGTTTCATAACACTTTTGTGACAAGCATTTTGCGATACGTGACCGGTTCAATTGCACTATTTTGCTGTTTCGAAAATGAATTTAAAAGTCGTATTTTAAGCGGAAATTTCATCAGTATCTATAAAATAAACAGAACATGGCCACTTGGGGATTCGAATGTTATCTTCTCGTGCTGAAAGTCTTACTCACGAGTGAGGGAAGCGAACGAGTGAGAGATACTTACAGCACTAGAGGACAAAATTCGTATCCCCACTGAGCAGCCATGTAATATCCTCTATTTAACATGTAAGATTGACAAAACTTACCCCCTTCAAAGTAAGCCCAAGGCAGGAGAAATCTCTAAAAACCACAACGAGCAGACAAGGAATAATTAAGTTATATTAATTGGGCCTACTTTGCTTTTCAGTACTGTTTTTCCTGTTATCAAACGAAGACTTTGTCTCGTAACAGGAAAAACAGTGATGGCAAAGCAGCCAAAAACGGCAAAAATCGCTAAAAAATAACAAAGGGAACACAAAGAGTGAATAAGTTTTATCAATCTTACATCTTACATGTAACATTTTCATAATTCGGAATATTTAGTGTTTTAACTGGAACATATTTCGTTCCACATACTCTTCCTTATAAAGCAATCAAATTCTCAACGGTTACTCGCGTAACCTAACACCCCGTCACACAACGCGTGACGCTTTCATGAAATAATCCTTCACTTTTCTTCGAGACGCGGGCTTGGGACGCCTGTGATCTGAAGTGGATGTCTGTCTTTTCATCTAAGGTCACGACGAAGCCAAGTTTACCCGCTGTTATTTGGTTCAAAAGAGATTCCTATTTTCTGTCACATGAGAAAATTTCGATGTGGAGGTGGAGAGTGGACCCTGACTATGAAGATCGATGGCACCAAAAGTAAACTACATACGCTCCAACGAAAATTCAGTGTGGGTATTTTAAAAGATAAAGAAGATGCACTACGCGTTTTTCCGTGTGTGTGTTTTTACTTTCTTAATTTTATTTCAGATAACATTTCATTATGACTCCCACTTCTGGAGTTACAGAAATTCATTAGACCTTCTTCGAGCAAAGACTGGCTTCGACTTACAGGAAACAAAACTGGCGACTTACTGGAACACGTATTTCTCCAAGGTCTGTCTCGGTATTAGAATAGGCCATCAGAACAGGTTCATGATAATCAACAGGCATGCAAACTCTCTATATTCCCTCATTGCTGTTGGAAAATATCACGCCACCTCATTGGGTCGTTATACATGGAGGAGACTGATTGGTCCGGACGCCTCCTTACAGCGCAACTGCGATATGGAAGGATTCAATGCTAAGGTAAACACAGGTAATTCCAAAGCACGAATTGGTATTATTGCCAACAACGACAATGATTGCAACTCATGCAATTCCAGAATTGGATTTGGTACAGGACTCAAACACTTGTGGAAACGAGGCAGTTGCTGCGGCAGATAATGGAGACAAACATGTCAAAGCCATGGGATAAATCTTGGTGCAGTGATGTGGAAAGCAAAATATGGCTGTAATGGCTGTAAAGTCGCGCCCAGCATGAATTTGACAATGGCAAAATTTAGCTCAAGGAATGAAATGTCTGAATAAAAGTCTGTTGAAAATTGTATTCTCGTTTGCCAAGAACTAGTTCGTAAAGATAACTTCTAATATCAAATTGTTCTCCCTAAAACTGATTCGTGAATACAGTTCATGTTTGAAACGAGTTAAAATTGAATTAAAATGGAACTAGAACTGGGGGCTGATTAGGTTTATTTTTTGTCAATGGTTATTTATATTTGTTAAACATGTCTAACTGACATGAGTATGTTTTACAGGCCCTTCAATTTGTGCTTCAGGTCGTTTGTGATAAAATAAACCCTTATTACTGTGTGCGTTCAATCGAATTCAAAAGTCAATCCTCTGAAAGAGGTAAAACGTATCCTCTTTATAATAAACTATTCACTCAGGACGGAATATTGGTTTTCTACAAATTTGGATTGAAACTCTCCTCAGTATTCTATCAGCATGCAAAGAATCATTTTGAGACCGATCACCAAGGAGTGATTTTAGCAACGGTAACACCTTCTTCTCTCTTTTGATTCTTATTTTTTTAATTATTTAGAAAAAAAAAACGCTGCGACGGCCACTTAAAAATTAATACGTTGGGATTAGGATCATAAAGTAAGGGGTAAATATTCAGTTCCTCAGTGTGTTACACCCGAGTGACCCTTGCTATTCTTTAAAATCGTCCATTTATAGGGTCATCTAACATAGGTCTGTGAGTATTCAATGGATGCCAAACAAAAAAACAAAACAAAACAAAACAAATGATTGACCATCCCTACAATTTTTAACTTTTTCTTTTGACAGACTTTATGGTATCCTCACAGGAAGTTGTGCTGTCAGCTGCAAAACAGGTCCTCTCTTTCTGTCAAGTGGCTGAGATGAGAAAGATTCTGTACTTGGTCACATTTGATTTTTGATCGGTAATTCGATTTTCACTTTCATTAGTCCAGCCTTGCTTTGTTCTCATTTCACACAAATTCGGTTCTTGCGTTTTTCTTCTCAAAAGGGGTGACCTTAATCCAATGCCCAGGAAACCAATTTACTATCAATGAAATCAGTTAAACATAGTTTCAAATGATTCGCTAATCAGCAAGGCCATCAAGACGCTTGAGACAAAGCTGGAGAACTTTATTTACGGATTAACATGAAAATTTCTAATTGTTGTGTTACCTAGCAACCAGTCTCGTCTAATCAGTCTCGTCTCTTCCTGAACAAAGTAAAGCAGGTGAGAAACAGTGGGTTCATGGTAAAATTATTTTTGAGGTGCAAATTTGTTTTTGCTGTGAAATTTTTTGTGACTTGCTATGAATTAAATGGCTGTAACTCCTGGTGTCGTTAGAGGAGAACTCAATGACAATGATGCTCATGGTTTCCTGGCAGGATCAGCTTGATCGGGTAATGGAAACAAATACATCAAATCCACCTGATACACTCTGTCAAATGGAACCTGCCAGCTTGATCAATACTAAACGGTCACAGGATCATGAATACCTCTTTAGGCAATAAAGCAAGCGAAGTATTTATAATAAGGGGTCGTTAAGTGTACCAGGCGATAGTCAGAAATAGGCTCTCTTTAACAAAACGTCAAGTAAATTGTAAGTTATTCCGTTGTCATAAACCGAAATAGGGTAATTTTAATGATTGCGTTGCAGCCGAAAGCCGAGGCTTCATTGGCTGAGAAAGATGTAGGGAGTCATGCTCATGACAAAAAGTTGTCAGTTAGCTTTCACCTGCTGGTGAGTTAGGACACGAATTTGCAGAAAGTCTTCTAAATACCTTCTCCTCGATGATATTTATGCATTCAATTTATATCTGTCTTACTTTGGCGCTGTTTAGTATGACCTCTACAACTCAAGGTAAGGTACACTTTAACCCATCACTGTCCCAAAATATTGAGGAAAAAAACATACTTTCCGAGTGTTTATTAAATACCTTTGTTTAACCAACGGTGTCGCGTTTTTTCTCAATTTTTTTCATAAAAATTCTTTGAGATTTTTTTAAGTTCTTTTGGAGGTATATCTGTGTTTCGTAAATCTGATAACGGTTTGTTTTAAACCTGCTTAACCAAGTACATAATTTGTGGGTCGATCTCGGATAGGCATCTAGACGGATCCTGCAGTTCAAATCGAGAACTCGCCATCGTTATCTTTATCTTGTCTGAAATTTGTCGTATGCGGCATCGCTTGGAGTACTTTAGGTTGGAGCACAACTCAAAGTGAGTTCGAGCCAATCGGTAGATCTACATGAGAACTAAGAAATCGCTGGAAAGTGAATGGAGCTAGGGAAAATTCATTGTTTTCAGTCTAGGGGTTCAAACTACTCATGTCTGTGGAACTTATTTCGGCTTAAGATCACCAACAATTTAAGCATATGTAGTTCTGAGCATTCCCAGGAAAAGCGAAGTGAAAAAAGAACTCTGGTAAGAAGGAATTTGGAGGCCTTTATGATGCGATGTTTTTCAACTTCTTACAAACACAACTTCAATTTTTCTGTAGTACCCTTGTGACTTATAAAAAGCATTTTTTATGATCCTTGTTGTCCAAATGTTATTGAGGTAAAACTGTATTTTCCAAATAATTAGGTGAGAAAGTGTTCCGCAGAACACAAGCCTTTCGTATAATGAACAATTTTATTTATTATCCGCTATGACTTTACAGACACTTTTTATGACGTTTGCAATTCAAATATTATTGATGTAAAAAATCATTTTTCTACGTTGCGAAAGTTTCTTCTTTCGAGCTTTGAGTATCAGTCGTTGCACTTCTATGTTGGCAATGTCATGAAAAAGCAGCCAAACTTTTTAACTATTTCATCATTATAATTATCATTAAAATTAACATTAGTATTACTATTATCTTTATCTTTATCGTTATCATTATCATAACTATCACTGACAGGGGTGACAGTTGTCATTGGGTCTAATTGCCCGCTGACAGCATTTTTTGTTAGAAAGTGCGACAAGTTTTATAATATTTACAAGACGTCACAGGTATTACTTGGTGGTATTATTGTTGGTGAGAGTATTTGGAGAACTCGCACAATTGACAATAATGACTTTCAATTTGGCTTCGACGCTTCTTCTAAGTTTATTTTGAATTCATAGAAGACTTTTGTGACGCAGACCATTGCCGCACTTTGGAGTTTGTACCTGAAAAAGCATTCGATAACAGGCGCCTTTTAAACCATTTGATTCGCATCGTCAAAGTCATGGTCCCAAGGTTTTGTGAAAACGTGTGTTATATAGAGCCTGACTGCGTCAGCATTAATCTCGATAAAAGAGCAGATGGAAACGGGAACTACAAATGTGAATTGAATGATGTTACTCGTGAAGGACACGAAGAGGATCTGAAGAAGGACGAAAATTATTTTCATCATTCAGCTGAGGCAAGTGTTTACTGCTGATTTATTGATAAAAAATGATAATAAAAAAAATAGAAAAGAAAAGAAAAGAAACAGATTTCAGCAGTCTGACTTGGTTGGTGGCCAGTTTCTATTGGTTCTGTCTCAATTTCAAGAGAAATCGAAGGATAAGTGTAAAGTTTGGATGACTAGGTCTAAAATATCTGTGGGAAAGCGGTTAGTTGTTCTACATTTTCTCTTTCACTTTAGAGCGCCTGTGTTACAAGCCGTTGTAAGAACAAAGGCACTTGTCAAAGCGGCTTTACTGACAAAGGTTACCGCTGTTTGTGCTCTGCTGGATTTAAAGGTGAAAACTGTGCACAAGGTAAATTGTACATGTTCCGTTAAGAGAAAATAAATAAGTGGTGACGATCAAAAAACAGCCGGAGAAGAAAAGCTCTTGAAGGATATTTATTTTCATCTATCATTTCAAAGCGTTTGGATCCTGCTTGTTAATCATCACACAACAACTGAAAAGTAAGGGAAAAAAACCTAGGTTATTATAACAGACAATCAGAAACAAATTATATATCCAGTAACTTCTTCAACTACTCCGTGAGTGGAAAAACGCTAGACTTATGTAACTTGCGGTTTTGGGCGCGCTTTGAAAGGTGAAAATGTGTGCGAGGCTACAAATACTTTGGGAAACTGTTCCTTTTAGCGGCTACAACGCCTCTATCTTTATAGAGCACCAAAATACACCAGGTCTGCACGCTGGGGAAAGGCACGTGACCGAGTAGAGATCGTTTTTATCCGTTTCTTCAATTAGCCAGCTGAATAATCTGGACTAAAGCAATAATAATAATAATAATAATAATAATAATAATAATAACTTCTATTTTTATAGCGCTCTTATACTATGTTCAAAGCGCTTTACAATACTGCGCGGGGGATTTCACCAGACTGCCAGTGGCAGTTTACAATCAACAAAGGCGATTTTTTTACAGATGCCCCCTCCCAATAAACAGGCCAGACCACATCACAGTCATCTCGTGATGTGGGTTCTTTAACGGTCCCTGCCTAATCAAATTATTTAATTAATAGATGCAGGAGACGCGACCTACGGTTTATTCATCCATATTCGAGAAGACTAGAATTATAGAAAGGTAGCACATTCTCTTCAGTTATTTTAAGACCATGAGTAATGGCCGGGGCTCAAACCCTCGACCTTCCGCACAACAGTCCAGCGCTCTAACCAACGGAGCTAACGGAGAAACCGTAGCTTGCTTTTCTTTTTTGTTTTGTTTTGTTTTTGTTCTGTTTTTGTTTTTATTTTTTTTTTCTTTGTTTTTATTTTTCAGACATTAACGAGTGTGTTACAGGAAAAAATTCTTGTAGTAACAATGCTGTGTGTACCAATACTAAGGGATCATACAAGTGTTCATGCAAACCTGAATACTTTGGAGATGGAAATTCCTGTACGAAATGTAAGGATTCTCTTTTGATGTTTTCGTAGGGTTTCTTTTGTTTCTTTACCCTCACTTGTGAGAGGTTCTCAGTGGGCCGGGTTAACCGTCAACCGTTAAATGGCTAAAACATTAACCGTCAACCGTCAAAAACGCAATTTTTTTACTGTCGACTGTCAAATAAGCAAGCCAATGTTAGCCGCCAAATGTCTCAGACATCCTCCGTGATTCAGGTTACTTCTCACCTTCGCAAGTGTCAGTCGGGAAAAAAAAAATTCTTACGTGCGCTAGTTTCGAGAAAACCCTAACAAACTATACATAAAAAGAAAGCTTAATAAATGCAGTTTACGATAAAAATATAATTTAGGCGTTTTTTCATTTAGGGAGTGTCTGGATCCGGTAAGGCGTGAAACGACCGAGGGCCCTTCTATTGAATTTATCGGTTATCGGATCCCGCAGCACGAGCAAAGTGGCTGTACAGTCTTATTCATAAGGCATCAATCATAAAAAAAGTGTGTCAGGTTTTTCCGATATTCTGATTGGTTGTCTGGGTATCCGCATTTAAATTTGGAGAAGCGTAAGATATACGAAACGTGTTGCTTAAATTGAGACCATGTGAAATATATTTCAAATATCAAAATTCCCTGACACATTTTCGTTCGTCATTATCCCTAGAATGTTTTGGTGAAATTTCACGAAACTCGGTCAAATCTACCTACCCTAAAAATTCGGTCAAAGTGGATGTATTCACCTCAAAATAAAATGCGAGATTTTAGCTCCTAAAGGTTTGTTAAAAACTAGCGCCACACCAGGAGATTATCTCGCCTCAGCACCTAAAACCGCGAACCAATGGGAAATTGGGACCTCCTTGCGTCAATGACAATTGATCAATCTTTTCCTGGAAAAAGTATCGCATGGCAGTCAGGTTTTTTTTCGTTTGTTTGATTGTTTTTTTTTTATCTCGCTCTGTTGAGCGTTAAGTAATGGGCAAAGTTAGTCGAGGAAAAACCCGCGGCAAAAAAGGTAAATCCGAGGAAACTGCTGGAAAGCAAAACAGTGAATCAACAGACAGCTTAATGAATACCCTAATCGCTTAAATGAGTTCCCTCGGGAAGGTTTATTCATGATTTCATTTGATTCGAGGCGATTGCCTATGATTTTGTATCAAGGCCGATACTTGCTTATTGAAAGGAAACTTCGTTTTAACCCTATGTACAACAAATGTAGAGTTGATGGCGCCTTCTTTGCTCACAATTTGGATGCCAGCGTGGAGAGGAGTCCCAGGACTGTTTTCTCCTGAAAAAATGGTGCCATTTCACTCTACTTTGCGTCTTTTTTTCTTTATCTTTGCCCAAGGACTCCTCTCTAATTTTGATTCATTTTTTTATCCATGAGAAAAGACTTCCCTCTAACATAGAAATTCCATATGTGAATTTTGTAAAGTGCGCGCTGACATTGCCTTTTTGGACTTTTCCAAGGCGTTTGACAGCGTACCGCATGAGCGTCTCCTCAGTTTCAAGCTTGAGCGTCCCGGTATCGACGGCAGCGCTCTTCAGTGGTTTCGAAATTTTTTAACTGGCCGGATGCAACGCGCCTTCCTGCGCGGCACTTGCTCGTCCTGGTCTCCAGTTTTATCAGGAGTACCCCAGGGAACAATCCTTGGTCCCCTCTTATTTATTTTCAGTATGTAAATGAAATCTTATCAGGAATTTCATCTACTGTTAAACTGTATGCAGATGACACCAAGGTTTACAGAGAGATCTCCGACATAGCTAGTGACACAAATATTCTTCAGTCTGACTTATTTCACCTGAAGAAGTGGTCTGAGGTCTGACAGTTAAACTTCAATGTGCACAAATGTGATGTTATGCGAGTAACACATAACCTTGATAAATCTGTCCCACATTACTCTCTCGTCTCGCTCGGAGAATGTCTAAGCTCAGTGAGTTCTGTAAAAGACGTTGGCATTACAATCTCGCATGACCTCTCTGGGACTCCACACGTTGTTGAGGTTGTCAATAAGGCCAATAAAGTTCTTGGTCTAATCAAGCGAACAATCGGTTCTGTAAACAAGGAAATCTTTTCCACATTGTACAAGACTCTTGTGAGACCAATCCTTGAGTATGCTTTCCCAGTATGGTGCCCTTACCTAGTTAAAAATATTGTTCTCTTGGAGAAAGTTCAGAGAAGAGCCTCTCGATTGGCTTTAGGTCAGCGAAGGGGTGAGATGTCATATGAAGGTCGTTGTGAAATGTTACATTGGTCAAAGTTGATTGATAGAAGACTATATTTCTCCTTAGTAGAATGCTATAAACTTGTATTCGCGCTGAATGGCCTCCATTTTTGTGATTTTTTTGAGTTT